TTTATTTTAAAAGTTTTAGTAACTTGTGTTTATTGTGTCCAGTGAACACAATGAACATTGCAGAGAATTTGACTGCAGACAATCTTTCCAGAAAGTCAAGCTCTCCTCAACACAAACTGACATGATAACTTAAACTAAAAAAAAAAAACCATTTCCAATCAGTATCCTTGTAAGAGACATTTCATGTTCATACAGATTTGTTATTTCGACCTTGATATGTTGTCAGAATTGCAAATTCAGGCATCAGTACTGGAATTTGAAGGAAAAAAATACCATTTTTCATTTTGCAGTAAAGGAGATTGTAATGTGTGGCTCCAAACTTGTGCTTTCTTTCAGAAACTACAAACAACGCTTCGGAAATGGGATGTCAAAAATGCCCCTTAATCAATGGCAGGCAAAGAACTGTCCAACACACAAGCGCTTCAACAAGGTCCCAAAAATCTTTGAAAGGAGTCCGTTTCCCTAAATAAAGAGTTTTGGGAAGGCTTCCCCGCACTTACAGTTCTTGCCTTAAAAAGATTTAAAAGTTGGACTGTTCAAGAACTAACTGAAAAAAAAAAGTAATGTTCTATTGGTTAAAAAGTGTTTTTGTTTTAATATTTATACTGAATTGGTAGTTTGTGTTTGTGTTCCTATTTACATAAATGCATGTCCCTGTATGTTAAAGTTACTGCATGTTTTAAATGTTTGGATGTTTTGAGAATGGTGTATAGGTATCTTGCCTTTTTACTGTATTTCATACGGTCGGTTTTATTGAAAATTTAAGTTATGTTGTTATTGTGCTACCTGCAGTATTGTGTTTTCTATGGTGCAAAGGTAAAACTTGCTCTGACCTGTTTGGTACCTGCTTCATCTCTGTGCGCTTTATTCTAGGTCCATAAAGCAGAATTTAAGTGATGTGCACAAGAAGAGTCGACAGAAGTAACCCTAGAGAACCCACACACATGGAACTTAATCAGCATGTGTCCTTTAAATAATGCACACTTTTAAAGTAATCCTGTCTGTACAGATGGTGGGTAAGCCTGGTCAGCCATCCAGAAGGCAGTTGTGTGGGTGTCAGTGAAGGCCTTGTGTCACATGCTGTGCAAATGTAAGACACGTGTATAGCTGAGCAACCACAGCACTTCTCTTTACCTTCAAACAATGGTTCCCCCTCCAGAGTTGAGAGCAGGGTAGCAGCAAAGAGGATGCTTCACAGTTCACAGTGCACCGTTTAATAACAAAGCACTTAAAAGGCCATTGCATGTCAGCTTGCATAAAAAGTATAATATGAGACTTCGATCAGATCCAAGTTATTTGTTTTGGTTTTCAAGTTAAGTCTCATTGAGTTCTGACATATTACAGATTCGGGCACATATTGCTAACTTGACAGTAAATAATGTGGCCTGAAACCATGTTGCTTGGCTAATTTTTAGGAGTTTGGTTTTCTTTCTCCATTCTTGCCTATTAACAGTAGGATGGCCACAAACCAACAGTTGAAGTTGAAAGTTTGAGATTTACATTCCTGTTGGCCTGGATTCTGTTGGTTGTTTGATGGTTTGACATCACTTTAGATACATGTGCTCAATTAAGATAAAAAGCAGAGTTTTGTGGAAAATATGTCATTTTATTTTACGCATACACAAGTAAGCATACACCATATTCTTCATTATTGAAGTTGTGTAACCTTGTGCATAATAGATAAACCATGCTAGCCCTCATAAAGCAATGACTAAAGTACACTTCATACAAGGAATATAAACATGAGCACTAATAAAGCAGTTGATTTTCTAAACCATGCTTCTTTGTTATCTCATTTTTATTCTGTATTTAGAGAAACCACAATGAAGAAGGCTGTCTTTGTTATATCAATGGTATGATTAAGTACTCATACAAAATAGGGCCTCCACAATGTGCAAGTTGTTTTTTTTACTGCCCAGTTTCTCATCACAATATGGTCCATTGGTGCTACCAACATACAGTATTTGTAGGCATTGTATCACACGTACAGTAGTGTGAGAATTGATCATAGGCCTCTGGTACTGAAATAAATCCTAAGTGAGTTATGAAAAAGGTTTTCCATCACAGGGCTCAAGTGGAATGTTGAATTCAAACAGCCATCACCATAAGTTGCATGTTATTAAGAAGAAAGTTATTTGTCTTGCTTCTTCATGTGTCTATTAAACTAGTTTTAACCAGAAGTACCAACTGAGACTTGATATTCCGTGAACAACATGAATCCAAATCAGCTTGTTTCTTACACGAGTTCCATGTGTGATTGACTAAAAATTCACTCTACTCCACCTGATGGCACAAAATGGGCGAGCTAAGATACCCAGATTAGTATCATTGCTGTATTCACTAACATGTAAGACCTCTGGGTAGTTCATTTGTAGGGTCGAACCCAGTATTTTAAAATCATTTATTTCACAGTAGTTTACCATCAATGCTGAAATATCATTTATGTGTAGGAGAGCTCACTCAAACACTGCTCACATGCAGGCCCTTAAGGGAGTAGTTTGACATTGAGGAAAATTCTCTTTTTTACCAAGAGTTGAATGAATAAGTCAACCAATCAATTTTCCTCTCATTTGTAGCCTATTCTGTGTTGCTGGACCCTGTAGCTGGTCAGAGTAGAATAAAAAGTGGTGAACAGCTGGCCTAATCCTGTCTCCAGCTTTTCTGGTAATTTGGCTGAAAAGCTTCTATCTTTAGCTACAAATGTATGGTACATGCTATGGAGTGTAACCTTTTTGTGTGTCTATTGTGTAATCTATTTCCATAGATGTCAAACTAGTCCACGGCCAAAGTGGTTGTCCACAACCGCCCTGCATTTATTTTATTTGATCAATAATAGGACTACAGTATTTACAGTGAAAACACTGAGGATTTTACCATCTTGGAACCTCGCACAACTTCAATAAAAACCTGTTTTTCTTTTAGCTGAAGTTTCATCAAGTAAATGATAGAAATAAAAAAAATAGCTACAGGGATCATGGTTTAAGAAATCTACTGTTAATGAACTAAGGCGTTGCCCTGAAATCAGCCAGGGATTCAATCATTATTGTGTTTTACTGAGGGGATCAATTGAAGAGCTAGCTTGTGTGAGTTGGAATGTGTAGTGTTACTGGTGAAAAATGATTCAACCATGCTGATAACTGGTGCAGTTTCCAAGCCTCATCAAGGTTGTCCTGGCAACAACTAAACATCTGTCTCTTTCTTTCTCCTTTCTTTTCCTCCATTCTGTGAATTTACTTGCGACCACCTCTTGCCTTTGACATGAATCAGTGCTTACTGAAAGGGGTGCAATCTTGATCTTTTATATATATATATTTTTAACTTTCATTATTAAGAGTGGCTGTAAAGAAATTTGCAAATGAGGTAGGGGGGTGGCCTGCCATTGCAAGTCGTCTTTCTATTCACCTCTCTCAACTATAGGCCTAATTTGTCTCATAACCCCCTTTGCTGCCTCTCTTTGCCACCACACATGATTTTTTCTGAGACCACTAAATGACTTGCCAGACCATTCCCACACTGAGATTGCTTTGTGCAGAACAAGAATAGTGGATGAGCTTATTATTCTGTCAGTACAGGTATTGAGGAGCAAAATGGCCTTAAAATTGTCACGCTTGATCAACCTTTTAAATATCCCGCACTATTCATCAGTGTCCTCATCAAAGAGAGTCCTTTCCTTCAGCACAAAAAGTACAATGACATTATTCAATAGAAATACATACCAGTAAAGGAGTGCTATGAACAAGCTCATTAATAACAGGACTAGTGTATTAACACACAAAAAAACAACAACATTTTCCAGTAGCAGTGGACCTTTTACATATGGAGTTCAAACATTTTCCAAATTAGTCTTGTCTGAGGTCACGAAAGTTACCAAACTGACACCATCCACCAAGAATGAAATATTGAATGTATTTACACATCAGCTACCATACCTCCTTGTTTTCAGATTCACTTTATCTTGGTTTTACATGGTGTCAATCTTTAAAATGTGCTTTAACTTTGCATTTATAGAAGCTAATAAATGTGACATAAATTTGAGATATTGGGCTCGTCATCTTATCCATTAAATTATTAAAATTATTTTTAAGGCAGCATTTCTGAGTATGAATGAGCCCTCTAATACACCATCTGCTTTTATAAAGCAAGTTCCTTTACAATATGCAGTGAACAATACTTTATGGGACAGCTAACACTTTATCTTTGTTTTTAACCTCTTCAACATGGACTTTCAAAGCACATGTTTACTTTGATTGTTAGTCTATACAAGTCTTGATAGAAGCCCTTCAATTCAGGATGCCGTCAAGGTGTGTCAGGGTTGAAGGTTTGGCACAACTTTTTCTCTTCACAATGCTCTCTATGAGAAACATACATTTTCACAACATTGCTGAACACCTTTCCTGCAAATGAATCTCAGAATTCAATCATTGTTGATATGCAGTTTGGTCATCTGTCCCTGCATGCTAGGAGGTGGAAGATTTTGACAAAGTGGCTACACAGAGTTTGGGTCCTTCTTCTGTGCTTCTCCAGGGCTGTTATTGCTGATATAATCATTGTCTCTTCAGTGATTTTCCATAGGTAGTCCTGCCCCTTAAAAGTTCATTTAATAGATGAATGCACTCCTTTATGGCACTTCTTTTACCCTCCAGAGTACCCTCCCTCGTCGCCTTTAGAGAGAAAGACACAAGAAAATACTAAAGGTCTCATCCTGAATGTGGAATGTTACATTTTTTTAAATCTATAATAAAAGTATGAAAGAAGTGAGAAGAGAAAAGCAAACGTGAGTAAGATAATACCAAAGCTGGCTTGCTAAGGACTAAACTGTATTGAAGTTTTTAATACAGAGATGCCTCTCAAATGAGTGAATTAGCTTCACTTTTGCTGACAAGATTAGGTGATTCAGAGCTGAGTGATGCCTCTAAAGCTGCTCTTGCATCATTGCAGCACCTCTGAGGATTTGCTCCTTAATTAGCCAGGTGGAGTCTGGACACCCTGAGGCAGAAAACTGGCTCACCACAAAAAAAAAAGAAAGAAAAATCCCACAGGACTTCAAAGAGTCTGTCTCCAAAACATCAAAATAGTTTAAAAATGGATACCAGGACAAGAAAACTGTATGGATGCATATTGTTAAAAGTTAGATTTAAGTAAAACTGCAGTGATGCACATGAATCATCTACAGTGTTTATCTCCATTTCAGAATGTAGAGAAAATTGAATGTGGTGATGGAAATACAGTGCAAGGGTGAAAATTAATTACAAAGAATCACTGTGAAATGTCCAGTTTGTGGTTGTTGAACACCCACTGAAAGACAAGAGAGCGAGAATGACAAGGACTCCAGTTCAATTACGGTCCTTTGGATTGGTTTATCATTTCTTATTATTCCTCCACCACAAAAGCCATTTGGGCCTAACATTTGCTGCCCCATGCTACAATAGTTATAAAGCATTTTGCAGTCACAAACCATCCACTGATAACTTTGCTCTCAGACCAGCACCGGCCAGGCTTTGTTAGAACACCCCGAGTTCTGCAGCTTCACCTCCGCACCAGACCAAAGGAAAACAAGCTCTGCTGTGGAGTCCCAGCCCCATCTGTCAAGCAGATGGTCTATAGAGTGGCCAACTTGTTTTTGAGAACACAAAGTCTTTTGGATAAAGAGAAGATGTCCTTTAGTTACACCTCAATGATGTTCACAGATGGCATCCTATTGTTGTTGTTGTTCTTGGGGATCTGTGGAAGAAGAGAGGAAAATTATAGCTATTAGGAGGCTGATGAACCCAAATGAATCATTGGAATGGCCTCTTCTATGAGCATGAGGATGCCTCTGTATATGGATTTTTTTTTTAAAGCAAGAGAAAAAGATTGCTTTTGATGTTTGTTTTCTGCACTGGTTTGAACACAGAAAATGGTTATGGTATGGGGCTCTGTTCTTGATAAAAACAATTTTGAAGGCATGACTGTTTTGCCATTGGATATATCTAAAGTTATGCACATTGAAGCTAAGTTGAGATGTAGACTAAAGCTTAATTTTAGGCACGATTTTGGCATGATTTTGGCATGATTTTGTAGTGTCAGTGGAAAAAAGTCTAGAAATGGCAGGCACCATTCACCTGCTTGGCGCCGCTGAGGGGGAAGCACCCGGGGAATGGAGGGGGGTGGGTTATACCTTACTGCGCAACAGCCCTCCTGTTGGATGTTCAGGAGTGCTGCACTCAGAGGAGTTTTTGGCTTTGTCCTTGTTGTTGTTGGGCTCGTTGTCTTTGATAATGTCATACTGGCGACAGAAGAGAGCAATCACACCTAGGAGGAAAGATGTATTGGATTCATGTCAGCCAACACTGGATATCCAAAAAACACAAATACATGAAATTACTTTTGTGGACTAACTTGTTTTACATGAGATAACGAGAGAAACAATGTGTGTATAGTTTTGTTATCCTGACTCAAAAAAATGTTTGGTTCTCACCTGCCCACATAATAAGTACCACCACAATGATGATGAGCTCCCCTGCCCTCAGCTGGGTGGACTGGCCCACTTCCTCCATCATCACTTCGTCTGAGGGAGTCATGGAAACATAATGTTTAATCAGTGTTTTATCCAAAAGTTTCACATACTGCACTTGAATAAAAAGTTAAAAATAATAAAAATGTATTAATATTAATAAACCCTTTAAAAAATAAAAAACTAACAAAAACAAAACCAGGCCAACAGGCTTCTGGTTTTTCAACACAGCCAATATTTACCTTTTCCAATTATGTTTCAAATACATGAGAGTATTTCCTATTCTGGATTATTACATCATAATTTGAAATAGTATCCTCTGACTGACTGTCAGCAGCATGACTACTCAGTTCTGTTTTGTTTTTTTAATTGCCAGGTTGCTGTTTACTTGAATAGGCACACAAAATCATGTGTATGAAATCACATGTTTTATCTCCTTTAAGGTAAAACAATTCAAAGAATAGATCGTTTTTACACATCAAACATTGGACTCTTACATATTATGATATCTGTCTCGCCCTTTGTGGTCTGTTTTGAAAAGAGGAGGATCAGAAAAAGGACGAGGTTTGCTGTTTTTCTTTTCACTGTTTTAGTGGACAGAGTGATAAAGAGATGGCATTAAGCAGACAGAGTCAAGCTTTATTGGGTTTCAGGGCTTTACTAGGGCAGGGTTCATGCCACAAGAAATTCCAAGTCATCATTCTACAATTAACCCGGTTTTCTGCTGTTGAGAGGATATGATTTTTCACTCTGTCAATGTGTTGCTGGGCACCAGCTGACTAGATTGTACTATTCTGCATATTCTTTTTTCAGGTCTATTTTGACTTTCTTTGACATGATCCTTTATTTCAGACACTCACAGTCCATTTCAATTAATCTTGCCCTTGAAATCCTAAACCTTCTTACAAATTGTTTAAGGTTTAGTGTCTTACTGAACAAGTGCTTTAACCCATTCAAAACTAAATCTATACGTTTCCCATCCTTCTGTTGCATCCATGTCTTTAATGAGAGGAGAATAAAAGTATTCATTGTATTTCACATAGGAACACTTCATGAGCAGCTATAGGTGTTATAGCTGCTAGATGCAGCTTTAGAATATCATCAGTCCTCCCCCTATATTATCAATGTTAGTTGTTGTTGTTGTTCTGTTTGTCTTTATCCAGCTATCTTTATCTCCCTCTATCCCACTTTCAAAGATGTCCCAGTCCCAGTGGACAGCTGTGAATGATTGATTAATCGACTAAGCTTGTCTTGTGTGATGACTAGTAGGCCTGATTCTGTGAACACCTGCTAGAGTCAACAGAACACAGCAAGATCATAAAGAGAATAGTTTAGGCTTTATCTGGCCACTGGGCGTCCATTGTACTGAAACATGACGGAGAGATAACACAATGATTAATCACAGCAGTCGGGATCAAGGCACACCAGCCTCAATAAAACTCATTCATCATCTTCAAAAGTTGTATGACCATCTGGAGAAGTATCAAATAATGATGTTGGCAGATGCTTGTTGGTTTCGTTCAAATGAAGGGACAACACAAAATAACTTTTACTTTTACTCAGTTCTCAGAGGTCAGTTGTTTGATTTAAAGTTAATTAAAGTATAATGAGCAATCCTATCATTTATTTGATGTAATGGGTCACATTTGGTGGGTCCATTGTGGCAGGAAACCTATACCCCATTGCCATTAGCAACAAGCAGTTCTGCTGATCCATTTAACCCAGTATTAGCTCATTAAAGCACAAAGCCCAAGGTGTTGCCCACTGTTGCCAGGTAACCTCACAGGAGCAAACTGGTCAGCTTTAACACCTCTGATGCAAGTTCACCATTGTCACCATTCAGCAGCTCTGGGGTTTATAAAGAAACAGCAAACAAAGAGGAAGCTTGAATAATTCCAGTGTGTTATCCTGAATTCAGACAAATAAGAAACTACAGTGAAGTATGAGGCCAACAGAGCCTATTCTTTTATTTTAATTTGTTATATTAGATATGGATTATTGTAATTAAGGTACTAACTTGAAGCTATTCGAGATGTACTTGCATTACTGCTGGAAAATCTGTTGTTATCAAGTTATTTGATCAAGCAATGTGGCTTTCCCATTCACATCATTTATACAGCTTTGCTTTCTGTACTGTTCATTTTCAGTGATTGTATGATTGGTTCTCCTTATAGGACCGCAGAGTGTACCTGTGTATCTGTGTGAAAACATCTAGTTTGTTTGCTTTGTTGGAGCAGAAGGATTTAAGTTTCTATTGGTCACTGAGAGGATTTATTATTTACTGCATCCTCATGTACTGCCTTTTTTCTCCTCAGCTAGTCCCTCCCTTTTCTCACTCTCTCTGATTTATTGTCTCTTTTGCCTTTTTGTGTGCACTAGTTGTGTTTTTTTATTGTTTTGGCTTCCTTGGAGATGAAGAAACTCACACAGAAGAAACCAACCGCAATAACCACACAGCCCATTCCTACAGTTTGAGTCTAAAAGTAAGAGAGGATTGATTGTTTTTATAAAAATATTTTTTGATCTTGTCAGTTTACCCTGATTTATACAGACATGATAAATTAACCTTGTAAGAAGTGTGAAATTGATTAGTGATCATCTGTGCAATGTACATTATTTTTGAGGAAAAATATGCACATAATGCAAAACTAGGCTGAACATCCCAGATCATTTTCCAAATCCCTGTCTAGCGCTTAATTGGAAAATAAACAGACAATCATTTTGACTTTGTGGAGCACCCTAAGTCATAAGTGATTTTCCAATAAATAACAATATCTTGCCTTTAACAACACTAGATATCATTGATTGTTTTTGGTCAATCATAACTCATTCATCACTCAATTTTGACAAAGTTCATCAAATGAATGGGCTGTACTTTTTAACAAATAAATAAATAATACAAATACATTTACCTTTTCATATTTAAAACACTTTTTTCTATTGATTTACAATTTATGAATAATCAATAAAAAACTGCCAGTTTTTGCTAGCGTGTAAGTGTGATCAGATGTGTTGCTACAAGAGTAAATCCAACGGTAACTTGAGATATATGCTTCAGTTAAACAAGTGGAAGGGGGATGTGATATTGAGCATATTGCGCTTTTGAGCCACAGTATTCCACAAGCTTCTATTTCTCCAAATACTACATGACTGGAGTGAGTCTATCTGACTAGTGAAAATGCAGCAGTTTTTAGACCATCATATGCCATTTCATTCAGTCATTCAGAGAGTTAAAGAATCGTGTCCTACAGACACTAAGTACTGATGACTGGCACTACCCCCCTCTCGCCACAACAAGCAGCACTGCAGGAGGGGGAAGTGCTAGAGCATGTCTCTGCTTGTGTCCATGCCAATACAAGTGAAATGACTTTGAAAACCAGGTTCTACTTTTTGGAGTACCAAATGACTCTTTAATGACTGAATGCAAGTACTTGAACATGAAAATTACAAAAAAAACATTCTTGTCCTGTTACTGAGAGTTCTTTGAAAGAGATATTTGAACAATCGGGGTAAATGAGACAGAAAAGGGATGTGTTTTGTTGTGTAGTTAACCACATTTGCTGAGTATAAGGGAACGATGAGATATCACAAAATTGCTTTGTTGATATTTTTTTTTTTATTAATGCTTTGCAGCACTTACAATTACTGAGGGTGCTATGTCCTCGAATAGCCCTGAAATCAAAGAAAACACTGATAAATGTATTTGCTGCATTCATTTTTTTTGCTTTGTTTTATGCCTGGTCAAATGTTTATCATCAAGTTGATCTTCAGTTTTAAAATGGTAAAAAAATCATTATGACCTATCTTTCAGTCAAACTTTATCTACGCTTAACTTGACCTCATTCAAAATGCTGGAATGTTATCCCGTATGTCGACACAAGGAATGTTCAAAGAATAATTCCTAATTTTGGGAAATACACTTACACTTTCTTGCAGAGAGTGAGACAATAAGAATGTTGGCACTTGCATACACAAGTTTAAAATGCTTATTTTTTTGTTTTAGATACCAGACTATTTAGTTTATTTTCTATGACCTTCTTTCTGGAATCTGAGGCAGATTCTCTCCTGAAAGCAGTAGTTCTTACCCTTAACTTTTTGTTATGATTAAACAAACAAGACATAACTTGTCAATAATAATAATAATAACAATAATAAATGTTATTTATAAGCGCCTTTCTGGACACACGAGGATACTGTACAACAATCAACATTTAAAAAAAGATGATGGATAAAATCTGCCTACAATAAGTCAAGTGAGTAAGTCAGCTTAAAAGGTAGCCATTGCTTGATTTTGTGAACTACAGACAGTACAATACTAGCTGTTGCCCTTTCTGTGTCCATTGTCCTACTGTAAGGAAGGAAGTTGTTTGATGTCAGCTATATATTTAGCTTAAAGACAATAAGGTATATTCATTGATTTCTTTAAATTCTTTCTCCCACAAACAAACATCACACACACACACACACACACACACACACACACACAGCAGTATATTCTAATGCCTTTTCATTTGCCTTTTCATTTGCCACAATAACAGAATCTCAGACTCAGGAAGAATAGATGGAGCCAAGCTTCAGCCAGAAGCACATTGATTTGCCAAACCTCGCAGCTCTGACTACCTCCTCTGTGCGTCTGATTAATGTCTTTTCTCATTTTGGTTTACCTTGCAGTTCAGCTGGGTGCAGACAGAGAGAGGCCTGCCAAGGCACATCAATACACAATGAAGTATGGTGCCTTTTGGACGTTTTTTCCCTGAGTTGTGGTCAGCAGGTGTAAGCTATAGGAGTACTCTTTTGTAAAATTTCATTTCACGCTTTGTGTGTCACTTGATTTTTATTGGTCTTTGACCAAATCACTCAATACATTTTCAGAAGGCAAAGTCCTCTCTGTTCTCTATGTCTCGGAAGGAAAGAAAAGTATTGAGGAAATGTGCAGTTTTTTTCCGGCTGGATATATTCAGTGACAGAGCAAATGTTCATATTGTGTGTTTGTGTTTGTAAAACTCAAATACTACCTTTACTTTTCGAGGCCTGAGTCTCTGCCTCCTTTGGTGTTCGGAAGCGCAGGGGTTCGCTCAATGGACTCGTTCCAGACATGCTGATGGATTGGACATGCACAATATAGTCTGTCTCCTCCTCCAAGTCCCATAATGCACAGGAACGTGTGGTAGTGTTGACTTCCTGGATGAATCGTAGCATGCGGACATCTTTTTTCTGTTGGAGAATGACACGGGTGAGGAAGGTCATTGTAAACATTAGGAGGACAGTTGTTGTGTGGTCTGTCATAATAAAAATACTGGATCAAAATCCGCTTTATGGGCTAAGTATGTGTCCACATAAAAGGAAAACTATAGACTCAAAATTAATGGATGAAACGTGAGTGATGTTACCCATCTGTTACTGCAGGGTGGCTTTGAAAGCCCCTCTATGGTGGTTGCCATGCTGGAAATGCTGTCTCACTCTAACTTTCAGACTTCAAGAGCTGGAGCGGAGACGGATTTTAAACCCTTTGACAAACCGCTACATCACACCTGCCCATCAATCAGGTCAGATACGCCCCTAACTATGTATAATATGTATCCTTCATAAAATCATAACGGATCAGTTATAAAAATAAAGATAAATCAGCCCCTATACAGCGTATGCCCAAGAGGACAATAACTAATCAAACCAAAATAATTTCATGCACCATGATGTAAAAACGCTAACTTCTGCAGTAAAAACGTGCATTTCATTAATGGGGTCTGTACGTGACTTCCGGGTCTCTTGGAGCAAGCCTCAAGCGGACAATCGAGCAACTGCAGTTTTTTGCACTACATCTACAGCATTTTGTCTCCCTCTGCATGAAAAACAAAGTACTATCAGAAAGTGATCAACAATGATTTTGCTCCTCCTCAGTCAACCTACAAATGTTACACACTATGAATGAATGTGCATTTGTGTATTTCTGACTGAAGCTGTAATTTTGCAATTGTCTGTGTCTGCTGTGTCAACCAAAGTGGTTTATGTACAATTACATCCTCAAGGGTATGTCTGCTCACCTGCTGTGTGATGGCAAAGCCAATGACGGGGTCTCCATCGGGGATGTCCCATGTCACCACAGCAGAGCTTGCTTTTACTGCTTTGATGGTCACATTGACGGGGGGCGACAAGCTATCTGCAAACACAAAGAGAAACAGAAGTAATCTTTAATCTTCTTCTTTAATCTTCTGTGGTGTGAAGTAAACTAAATGTAAAGATCCATTATATTAACCGATTTAAAAGTAGTTGCATTGAAGGGAACAAAAATATGTTTTAAATATTTAAGCCATGCTAGACATGAAGCTCTTGATAGGCCAATGTTACACAGTCTGTGCACCCATTCTGTTCTTACTTAAACACCACAATAACTTTGACATTTTGTTTGTTTTGACATTTGTGGTCCCCACAGAATGAATCCTACATCCTACTTTATGGATGTGTTGCTCCAATCTCCTGTATGGCAATACTATTTCATAAGCATGTGCACAGATATGATGAATTAAGTCCCAGCAGCAAAGAAGAACACAGTATGAATTGATTATTTTTTGTTTGACACTCTTTACACATTCTCATCTTCTAAATCTTTATTTTCTTTAAAAAAGTGAGAATTAGGGGGCGCTGGTGGCGCAGTGGTTGGTGTGCGCGCCCCATGTATGGAGGCTGTGGTCCCCCCTGTGGCCACCCCTCCAGAGAGAAGAAACCCCCTAATAACACATACAGTACACAGTATTTGACTCAACAACCGGACTCACAATCTAGTATTAAATACTGTTACTGAAACAAATATAAATCATAGTATTTAACGTTGTGCGCTATTATTTGGCATAATATATGTATTTTTTTTAAAGTGATCATCTTTGTCTACTTTTCACCTTGGTTTAATTTTCTCCTCTGACAAAACAACTGGCCCCAGTTTGGCCCCCTCAGTAAGAGTGGTCTAGAACCGCCACTGTATATGTGACTTCAGGTGCCTCTGCAGCCAGCCTCAAGTGGACATTCGAATAACGGCAAGATTTTGCAGTTCTGCATCATTTTGAAAGGTTTTTCAGCTTGTAAATTGGTTCAGTAAAAGTGTTTCACTATACAAACAATGGCAAATTGTTACTATACATCCGCAACACTGAGGAAAGGAGGTGTATATATTAAAGTGTGCCTTTAAACAGGATAGTCATCTTTATTATAAATTTTTTCCATACGTGCTGGATATACAGAAAGATTCTGAACCACGGTGCAAGCTAAGTATACCAAGATTTGAACTATATAATACAAAAATACAAAATATTAGGATAAAAAACAGACATACAAAAGTACAAGATAATGTGCAAATGATGCATTAAAAAACAAACAGCAACAAAGATGAAGACATCTCTGAGATGTGATACTGAGCCAGTCTGATGTCACTCTAACACTCTCTTTGTTCCTGATAACAATTTGATCAATAAGGCTCTGCTCGTGAAACTTTACCTCACACCTTATGACTTGTAGATTCTGTTGTTTTGCAAATATATGGGAAGGATCGTGTTGCATCTAAATAGTGATCTTTGTGAGTAAACTTTTTCATAACTCAGTTAAAAAAACAGCTTGGCTTTGTGTATTGGGAAGTGAGTTTAAAAAATAGCATACAATATCATTCTCCACCCCCACTTTCTATTAGACAAAGTTGAATCATGTTTTTGAGGGTGTGTTCTACAGCTTCTGATCACCAGTTTTGTTTTTATGTCTGTCTCCTCTCCTTTATATGGCAGCACTGTGCTGGGACAACCGGTGGACCTTGGCCAAGATCACAGCCTTTAATATGCACATGACATGAAAGTCAGCTCTAATGAAACACCAGACAGATGTCTTCATGAAAACTCTCCCTTCTCCCAGTGGAAAACATTCTGCCCTACCCTGAGAGATAGGGGTGACTTTGAGCGTTGACGGATGTCTCTTGTGTCTATGAGTGTGTGTTAGCTCGGTGGTAATCAGAATGATGGCTAGATGTCTCTCCCATGCTGTGGAGTGTAAAAGGTGACAGCTTTTAAAATCCTTCATTAGAGAGCTCTCAAGAGAGTGTGTGTCAAATATATGTGTGTATACAGCCAAGGATTTAAAATGCACACATCAACACACATGCACGCACACACACACACACACACACACACACACACACACACACACACACACACACACACACACACACACACACACACACACACACACACACACACACACACACACACACACACACACACACACACACACACACACACACACACACACACACACCTTTCACTATCTGATGAACATACCGCTCATCAGTCTGTCACCCTCTGTTACAGGATCACACCTCCAACCCTCTGAGCAGGCTACCATCCATCCTGACCCTTCCTCTCTATCTGTTCTGATTGGTTGTAGATGGGGAATTGGTGCAGGTTGATGAATGTAGAGATTATACTTTGCAAAGAAAACATTTTTGTTTGTTTTTCTTTTTACCAGTTGATAATGATCGTAATTGGTCTCAGTTATTTATTTAATTTCCACGATTATCCGCTTTAAGGGATACATTTACCTGTTGATAATTAATAAACAAATGCATATGATAGAAATACCATGATCGTTGACACATAGCTCTGCTTTAATAACACTGACATCTAATTAAAATGTGGGCAGAGGTAAGGCACAAATAAAAAAGGTCTGTGGTGATCAGATGTCTACAAGTCTACAAGTTGGCCAAAAAAAGGCATTTAATGGGGTTTTTGATGATGTTGCAAAACCACTGCCTCCTTTGTGGAATGAGAAGATTTTAAAATGTACAATCTATAAGTGTGTACTTTTTCCTGTTACACATCACATATGAACCAATCTTTTAAAACAGACAGCAGACTGAGAGAGCATCAGAACTGGGTTGGTTTTCCAGATTACATTTTTCCCTTTAGAGAAATATAAGTAATTTCAAAGCTATACCATCTTACTGCAGCCCTGCATCCTTATCCTCTGAGAAACACATTTCACTGACTAAGGGCCCCGGGATGATTCTGCTCTTTGGAATTCTGATGGGTAAGTCTGTAGGATTGGGAACAAACATGAAAACTGCCTGTTAGAAACATCATATTCTACTTTAACTTTGCATTTTAAGGTAGCCACAGTATGCTGGTGTTTTTAAATTATTTTTATTTTACCTTTGTTTCGTTTTTTATATTCCTCCCGATCTCCCCTTGCTAATTCATGTTTCATGACTTTGGGTGATTTCATGCCAAAAATCAAGTTAATGGGGGCTTAGTGGTTAAGTTGCTTCCCATCTATGTAGGCTACAGTCCTCCAAGCGGGCGGCCCGGATTCAAGTCTGACCTGTGGCTCCTTTCCAGGCATGTCTTTCCCCACTTTCTCCCAATTTCCTACTCGATTCTCTGTCCTATGAAATAAAGGAAAAAAGCCCAAAACATGAGTCATCTCTTGTCTTTTTTTGAGAAAGAAACAAGGGTTAAGAAGAAGCCAATTTTAAAAACAACTCCAACTTCTAAAAAATGGGGATGTTGTTGAGAACATATTTGATTGAAAACAGTACAAATAAAACATGTCCCTTCAAGACCTCAGATAGATATTTTCTAATGACAAAACTACCTTAGACAGCCTCTGCCTGGCTTTAAACAACACTGACAGAAATCTGAAAGTTCTATTTGATCAGAATATATCCTTCAACTTCCATATAATACAAATTTCAAGTACAGCCTTTTTGTCTTTGTAACAATGCAAATATCCAGCACATCCTATCTTCAAATAGTGCAGAAAACTAGTACATGCATCAGTTACCTGTAGGTTGGGTTATTGCAATTTCCTGTTAGCAGGCTGCCCTTACAAGTCTGTAAAAACTCTTTAGCTTTTTCAAAATGTTACAGCACAGATTCTGACTAGAACTAGGAAAATAGTTTACTAAAGTATAGGTAACACTTTACAATAAGGTAAATACATTTTTCATAGTTACTAGGTAACAAATTAGTTCATAACTATAGTTGCATATAGTCATAGGGAACAAATAAGAAACTAACTAAAGCTAACCATCAGTAGTTAGATAGTAACTCCATCACATTATAGAGAAGCTAATGATTACTTAACAGAAAATGTATGTTAGATATACTACACAAAGTTTGTCATAGTCACTAGGGAGTGACTATGCAACACTTAGTCACTCCCTAGTGAGTGAGGGGCAGCAGTAGCTCAGTATGTAGGGACTTGGGTTGGAAATCGAAGGGTCCAAGTCCGGAAATTGGTCTGGTAGCTGGAGAGGTGCCAGTCCACTTCCTGAGCACTGCCGATGTGCCCTGAGCAAGGCACCGAACCCCAAAACTGCTCTGGAGCGCTCGCTGTGGGCAGACCCCTCACTCTGAGACCTCTCCATAGGATCCTGTTTGTGCATGTGTGTGTATTTTGGCCTATGTGTGTGTTCATGTTCATTAGACAGAGTGTAAAATTGAATTTCCCTTCGTGGGATTAATAAAGGATAAATAAATGATTTAGTTAATCATTATAAATGGGTAAATAGTAAGCAACTTCTCATCCAATTCTATAGAAAGTAAATATAAAATGAAGTGGGGCATCATACTACAGTTACTCATTGCTTAATCATTGCTTAATCATTACTTCCTGTGTGTACCCTAAAGTAAAGTGAGGCATCATATTGAGTACAGTAGTTACTCAGTATTGAAGCATTACTTTATTATTACTTACTAAGTGTGTTCGGTAACCACTTTTTATTTATCTTTAAACAGGGAACATATTTTACTTAAACTAAGTGTTTACTTAAAGAACAAGAATACAGTGGGAATCAATGTAGGCTATGTCAGGCTTGTTTTATCATGGAACAATTTTAACATTCAAAATGTGTGTTGGTCATTTTGTCCTTTACACCTCGTCGTCGTTGTTGTAGGAAGACATCTGATGCATTGGAAAAAAAGGAAACAAACAAATAAAAATAAGTGTTTATCACCACTGGAAAGAGCGAGAATATCATCAAGTCCGTCATCAAGTGTGGTCTGATCTTCTTTAAAACAAATTGCAATTTCCCTTAACTTATAGGGCGTACTTGTGAAAGAGAAAAAGGTTTTGTAATTTAACTGCCACCACCTTGTACCAACCACTGTAGCTATTACACAAACA